CTGTTTTGGAAGAAGTGCAGCCAGAGTGCTCCTTGGAGGCCAGGATGGCTAAGCTTCGTCTCTCATACTTTGGACATATTGTCCAGAGGAAACAGTCGCTGGAGAAGGATGTCATGCTGGGTAAGGTGGACGGTCAAAGAAAAAGAGGAAGACCCCCAACGAGATGGATCAGCCAGGTGGCATCATTGATGGCGTCAAGTGTGGCGGCGGTAGTGAGGTTGGCCAGGATCGGACATTGTTTCGTTCTGATGTACATGGGGTCGCTATGAGTCGGTTCTGACTCAATGGCACCTGACAACAAAGAATAACTGAATAAATGTAAGATTAATGATAAAGGTACTTATTCCTACATTGATAAAATTTAACGTAAGCACGAACTTGGAACAACAAGCTCCACAATTTAAACCTGCCAGCAGTTCTGCAGGAGAAAAAGGAAGCTCTCTGCTCTCTAGAAGATTTAAAGCCTCAGAAACCCTATACAGGGTCACTATGAGTCAAAACTTCAACAACACTTAACAACAGCACGTAAGTATAATACACACACATATATAATTATTGCCAACATCCAAAGATAAAAAGTAACAAAAAAAGAGTCAAACTGGCATTCAATTTCTTTTCCATTTTACATAACATTTCACAGCAAAAGTCAGTGTTTTGAGAGGAAAACTTGTGCTCTAAAATTATACTCAGTTGAGCTATCTGCAAGACAAAGGTGCATACTCTGATATCAATTAGATAGACTTTCGAACTGGATCTACTGATAAGTTATACTTCCTGGAAAAAAGAAAAAATCCCATAGATTACTCCATTGATAAAATTTTTAAAGAAAAAATAAAAATTTTGAATGGGGTAGTATCAAAAAAACATTGCTGTTGTTAAGTGCCATCAAATTGGTTCCAACACGTAGCAACCCTGCATAGGGTTTCCAAGGAGCGACTTGGAAGGGGAGCTTGAACTGCCAACCTTGTGGTTCAAACTGACTTTGCAGTTTGGCACATTAGCCTGCAGTGCTATACCGGGACTAGTGAGGGACAAAACTAGGCAAACAGAATCCCAATATTGTTATATTTAATATGGTTGTGAAACTAATATAATTGCAAGACAAAGTAATGTAATATAAAAAGAATGCAAATAGTATGCTTAATATCAAATAATAGATTTTATCACTAAAACTAGAAAGTTGTGGCTGAAGAGAAACTGAACTAGACATAGGTAATACATATTCTTGACTTCAAAAATGAAAAAAAAAACATCACTTTCCATAGTGTTGTTGTTGTTAAGTGCCGTTGAGTCGGTTCCGACCCATAGAGAGAGAGACCCTGTACAGGGTTTCCAAGGCTGTAAATCTTCATGGGAGCAGGAAGCCTCATCTTTCTCCCGTGGAGTGGCTGGTTAGTTTCGAACTACTGACCTTAAGGTTCGCAGCCCGATTCGTAACCACTACACTACCAGAGAGCTCCTACTTTCCATAGTAGGATAAATCAAAATAGATCACTTTAAAATCACAAGGACAATCAAATACAACCACTTAGTCCATATAATACAAGAAGAATGAGTGAAACAAGAGCAAGGGAAGTTTCTGTTTGTCCTGCAGGAATCCAATTTCAGTAGAACGAGAAGGGAGTTGATCTTATTCAGTGTTTAGTTTCCAACCCTTGGAATTTTTAATTAAGGAAAAGAGAAAGAACACAACAAACAAGATGAACTCATTGGTTATGACAGTAAACATGAATGACTTACGCTTCCCTTTTGAAAGATAAAATTTTCTAAATAGAGTAAAAACAAACAGACTCTTAACTACCTGATGTTTAAATGACATGTATCTAAAACAAAACTACATGGAAATACCTTCTTAGATACACTAGAAAATATCAGGAAAGGCAAAATAAGAAAAAAGTAGAATTTAAATAAAAAAGTATCAAATGGAATTTAAAAAAAATTTTGTTTGGTTTTCATATATCTCATCCAGGTTACAATTAAGATACAAAGTTCTGAGCAGTAGAGTGCTAAATAACATATGGAAACGTATAAAACAAACACCAATATATATAGGAGAGTTTGGTCAGATGTTTTAAATGTAGCGCTCTCCCTAAAACAAGGTTTAGAAGACAAGAAGAGGCAGGAAAGGTGGGCAAATGGAAAGGGAGAAGGTAGGAAGAGTGCTGGTAGATTGAAGGAATTGAAAATGACATCATGAAAAAAATGTGCATAATTTTTTTCAATGGGAAACTAATTTGTACGTTGTTACCTAAACCACAATGAAATGTGTATATATATGTATATATATATACCTATTTATATATCTGTGTGTATATATATACACACACACACATATATATATGTTCTCTCTATGTATGTT